GAAGAAAGGTTCCACCACGTTTATGAATATCATTAACGACTTTTGTTGTCAAGTTCAGGGTATTTTTTGAGTAAAACCCACTGTAACCTCCCTGGAAATATAGAAATAGTATTAAAGCCTCTAGGCGCAGAAACTACGACAAACATGTAGAAATACAAGATATTGACGGTAGGATCTCTGATAGACTGCTCCAACAGAAACAGACAAATAAATAAGATTAACAAAGCTCACATCAAAACTTCATAATTTTTCTAAGATTTCAGAATACCAAATGAAAATTTAGTATTTCGTCATCATCACCAAACCACAAGAAAAGAGCAAGAAATTGGACCAGCAAACGAAAATCAAACAGACTCCTTAATTTTTTGATAAAGTAAATAAATCTCACTAATGTTTGGGCCAAAATGCATTCATACCAAAAATTAGAGAACCTACATAATACATGATTTTTTTTATTTACAAAAGACACCCAATCTTCTATACAACAAGGAACTTCATGGATGCATCAAGAGAAAACAAGGGATAGAAGAGTACTCTTCAACTTAACAAAATCCATCTATACCCCTACCCCCACAAAAGCACTCTTATTTCTTTCTCTGCAAATAACCCACAAAAGTGCTTGTGGCACAACATTTCAGCCATGTGCCTTGTCCTCCTCCTCCCACAATTCCAACACAACACTAACTCCTTAACAGTGCTTGGCCTTGCATGATATACCAAACAAATTAAGTATATTCCACCATAACCTCAAGGAAAAACGACAATGTAGAAGGAGATGATCGACAGTTTACCCGCCTCCATGCACTTGAAGCACCAACTAACACAAATGACCAGCCACTTCCTGATATTCTCTGTTGTCAGAATCACCTCTCTAGTTCCTAACCACATGAAGAAACACACCTTTTTTCGGCACCTTTGGGATCTAAATTGAGCTATATGAAAATGCAACCTCCTCCCTACTCAAATGATTTTCATAGAATGACTTAACAGAAGCTCTATTATTCCCCAACACTCACCGTCAGGCTCCAAACATAATGACTATCTGGTAACATACATTATTTGTGAAGCAACTCTAGTAACATTGAGTTAGTCATTTCTATTTGGTATACTTACTGAGGGTTAGAGTCATAGTGATCATCCTATTCGACACTTCAACCATTTCCAAGCACCTCATATCTTCTTTGGGTTATTTGAAAATCCGGTCATTTTTGCATTTGTACTGCGTATTGGATGTATTGCAAAGACAAAAATCCTTCATTGATTAGCACATAATCTGCCCAAAGTAAATTGTAATTGGATAGGCGTATGTTTGGTAAAAGAGTGGTACTTCATTGATCAATGGAGGCAAAGTTTAACCCCCCCCCCCCCCGCCCCACAAAAAAAAAAAGTGGTACTTGATTCACAAACATTTACTAAACTTTGGTACTATTCGTGTAAAACTGACAGCCAGCAGCCAATATCAGTTCGGTGTTCCCTAACCACTAGAAACCAGAAAAGAATCAATTTTATTCAATGAAGAGTTTCAAAGAGAACAATAATATTATGCAATCTTTATCTTTGTTTTTTTTTCTTTTTTCTTGGAAATGAATGACCGAATTTATACATTGAATGAAAACACAAGAATTGTGTTCCCATTATACTGACCTGAATGCCAAGTACATCATCAACTCCATACATATTCTTTAAGCCACATACAATTTCACGAATCACTGTATTGATTCCTGGGCATAAACCACCACATGTCACAATACAAGCACGGACTTCTTCCGGTGTAAAGAAAACCTAAAACCAAAAGTATCTTTAGAATGAAATATTTTTAAAACACCAGTATTATAGGTTAGCATTCAAAGTGAGACCTTTTCTCGAGGTCCTGCACGCCGAAAATGTATTCCCCTGGGGCTGTCCTTCTGAACGATGATCTAAAACCAAACATGCATACTAGCAATTAAACTAAAGAAGGCATAATAGGCATAAAGGGAACAGCTGAACAGATAAAAGGGCCACATACTTCCTTTGCCACCATATCTTCTGGACTAACAAAAGTTTTCCTGTGTCAAGATAAACCATCTGGAACTTTAAGCAGCAATACTCTCACAAGATAAGGCACAGACAGAACACTGTAGATTTTTTAAGTTTCACAAAAATAAAGCACTCTTACTTACTTGACAATAGCATAAGCTTGGCTCTTTTTCAATGGATTAGTATATGACTGCAATAAAAATGCCGGATTAGCAATAACCAAGAAACTTTGTAATACTACTTCTTTGGTAACTCAGCCAAATACCCAACTACTATGTTACCACTTCTTACAATTTTCAAATAACCTCTACAAGCATAATAGTTCTCAAAAATTCAGGTAGACACTAGAAGAGCTGGCAACAATTAAACCATGAAAAGAAAGACGGATAATTTTACGTAGTGACATGCACATCACTAGATAGTTGAGATAGGCAGATGGATATATCATACTACCTTATATCCCAAAAACATCACAACTGAAAATAATCGTATACCATCACAAGTATTATCCTTCTTTTAACATCTGGCATTAAGCCAGAAACACCATTAGCAGCATTAGATTTTCAGGGGAAACATTAATTTAATACTACGGATTCAAAATGACACGCTTGAAAGAAAAAAATCAAATTGAAGGATCTTACAGAAACAATCCATCCAAATACAACTCCGTAGATCGGGAAACAGGAGTTTCGAGTAGGTAGAAACAACAAGCAATTTCAAAGTAGTACAAATTATATTTTTACAGGATTTCGTAAATTACCGGTAAATCGGGAAGAAAATCGGTCAAGTGCGGAACATCCTCTACAATAAAATCGTCATCGCCATGTTTATCACCACTAGCATTGCTTTCGGTAGAGGTTTGAGCTTTGAGTCGAAGTAAACGAGGTTGGCGCCAAATCAACGGTCTCCATAGAGAAATTGATTTTGATGCCAATTTTTTGTTGGAAAATGTATGAAAGGATCCAGGTCTTGAGTAATTATGGAGAGAAAGGAAATCATTTTGAGGAAAACGAAGTGAAGAAGAGTTGGATAACGAGAGCTCCATAGCTGCTCTGTGGAAGGTGAATGAGGAAGAGAGAGGGAATTGAAGCAACCAACAGTGCAGTGAAATGTGGGAACTGGCGTGATGAGGTTGACTTGATCAGAGCAAAGTGTAAAAACTCCATATTACATTTATTTGACTTGCCATTTTTATTTCTCAACGTTAATAACAATAATGGCATAACTTTATCCAAAAAAAATAAAAACAAATAATGGCATAACCTTGTGTAAAAAAATGCACACCCTCCTTTCTACCGCTTTGATTTTGCATGCCAAAATAATATTAATATAAGTATTTATTATAATATTTTATACTAATTAATAATATATAATTAAGTGAATGACTAATATTCAAAATAAAATAGAGAGAAATAATTCTATTTTTATATATCAAAAGTGATAAATAAAACATTGAATAGGTAAAAATAAACAGAGTGAGAACATTTTTTTGCACAAGTTATGTTATTATAATTGTTAGTGTTGGTAGAAGGGTATTAGGTAATTGAGAATTGTCTTATTACTAGTTTATTTATGTATTTGGCTTGGGAGCCGTACAAAACATTGTATCGGTTGTAGTATTAGCCTATTCATGTAGTCTTTGAATTTTTGATATCTAATACTTTTTGTAATTTATTTTGTTTAAGTAATCGCACGTTGTTGTTATTGTTACAATTTCTTGCAAATATGTTCTGCACTACTTTGTTACTAGTTGTCATGTTTCTCTCCACTATCATTTTTAATAGTTTCTTTGATTTACTTGAGTCGGTGGATTAAAAACAACATTTTTATCTCGAAGAAATAGTAATAAAGCTCATATATACTTTTTACCAGACTCCACTTTGTGAAATTTTGTTGTATATGTTATTATTATTGTTGTTGTTCTAATCAGGACAACCACATCACACCAATTCCCCACATTTTACTTTACTTTTCTTTATCGTATCCATTTTAGAAAATGAAAATTTGTGTTTATAAGGAAGTGCTCACTCTATTCAATTTTATTTATTCAATATTTTAAAAATAATTTTTTATTTTTACTCATCACTTTTAATATATCAAGAAAAAATAATTTTTTTATTATTATTTTATTCTTAACATTAATTTCTTATTCTTCAAATTATTTCTCAAGATCTAAGACCAAGGGTGGGAATGGTGTAGTATATACCGAATTACCATACCATATCAAAAATTTATATTGTGATTTTGGTATACTAAATACATGTGTGTCCATTGTTCGTATAGTAGACGATTCTATGTATGAAGTTATTTAATTCATGTACGGAAGATTAAAATTGCCGGGTTGTTGAAGAGGAGAGTCAGAAAGGTTATGGGATCAAAACTCAAAAAGAAAATGAGTTTATCTCATAGAGACCTGCACTAGACACGCCAAGCTTACATTTACGAATTAGTCTTTGAAACTGCTTAGTACCTTTCTCTTCTATAATTTAGTATTTTTCTCGTGTAAAAGAACCCCTTGGTTACACCTTTTTTCAATTTAATATGACAAATCCTACTTCTACTCGTCCTTACCTTTTCCTCATCATGCTCCCCTTTGGTAACTCTGACTGCTTTGAGGCAAGGATCATTTTTGCTTTGGGCTGTCAGTCCTCCTTAAAAGACCTAGGAAATCGTTCGGTATAAAACAGAACAAAAACTACTAAGCCTTCACTTCATATTTTAATCGACTCTAGATCGAACAACTCAATGAACATAACCCCCTCTTACGGGAGCAACAACTGATTGAAATATGAATATAAGAAATGTGCAGCTCCCCCAGCTTTCCTTCATTAGGCAAGTGAAAACCTAAGTTGTATCCACATACAACTTTGTATCTCCAATTCGTCCATGCCTACTGTAATAGCACATCGGGGAAGAGAGGGAAAACGGTTTGGACTTTGGAGCATGATATCCAACAACCTCCACAGAAAAGTAATAACTACTTCTAACATGGAAAAATAATGTTTTTTCATTGAGAATGAAACAGGTTTAAGGTTACATTAGGACATTATTGAGTTAACAAAACTGCTTACTGTAAATTTCATAAATGTCGTAATCACAAGACACTAGTACAATTCTGACCTGCAACCAAGTAAATTAAAACAAATCACACAAACTATACCAGATCTCCTAAGCAGAACATCTAAATCTTTTGAAAGAAAAAGAAACAGGTTTGTAGACGCAAGCTAAGGTTACCTTGTAAATTCAGTATTCTCCACCACGATCCAATGTGCTTCAGATTTTATTGACTTCTATAAAAGAAAATTATCTATTATATGTTGGACAACATCAGCACCTTCTGCATGCATGTAGTGATCCTTCACCTATAAGCAAGCAATACCACGAGGATTATACACACTATTGATCTTAAACCCTTAAAGCAATGCAACAAGCATTCTAAATATTAACTAATAAGCATGAAGGACTGGAAAGCCTTAATTACAAGTACAATATCTCTTTTAATATGCGTGACATCATTGGCAACACAAGGATCTCAATTTTGAAGCAGGCACATAAAATCTGAGGAACATATACACATTGTCAAGTCTGAAGCTCTATTTCAAACAGTATAGAGGCATAGAATATAAAACTCCAAGAAATTGTACTAGGAATTTTAAAATGTCAAGCAATACAACAGATCCAACGCTCACTTTTTCCCTTACACAATATCATGCCAAATGACCCCTTTTTTTTCCTTCTGATTGACCTTTGTATACTCTGATCATCATTCAGTTACAGGATTTTTTAAGTAAATGACACGGTCAACCCCTGATAAGCAACACTGATGACCTAAGATCAGTCTTACTTACGAACACCAGATTCAGTCCACCAACCACCTCTTTGTTCCAAACTGAGCCACCAACTAATACTATATTAGCATAACTGGTTTTAAACTTCCAAAAAAATGAACCATGGGATAGCTTGCAGAAGAAAATTCATTACCATGCCACAAGGGTGTCAAAATTTTACACAAGCTCTTCCCACGATGACCACTCTCCAGGTCAATAAATTACCAATACAAACCAAATCACTCGGCAATCTGTGCACAAGTGCCCTTGATGCTGTATAGTACCTAATAGGCATAAACGTAGCTCACTTATGAAGATCTAGGCATGAAATTTCATCACTTTGTTCCAACCACCATCACTCTCCAAGCCTATAAAGTACCCTATCAGTTATAGAGCTAACTTGCCAAAGTACAAACATATTTACTCAGAAATTTGTGCACATGTGCCATTGATGCTATGTAGTCTCAAAAATATGTAGAAGTGGCCAAATACTAAAGATCAACACATTTTCAGGTGATACAACGCAACTCTGATCATCACATACACTACAGCTCTCATCAAAAACATTATGTGGTGGACAAAAGTGCTTCCTACCAAGATAAGAACAATTAACACTTTATTATATGGGTTGGAAAACTTTGCAACATTTTGGCAGTAACCTGATATTTACAATCCTTTCAAGCAAACTAGGCACTATGTTGCAGGGCTCCTTACCCTTCGGGGTGGCCCAGTGGTTTGGGCTTGGGAATTCCATGTTGGAGGTCTCAAGTTCGAAACCCTTGCCAACGAAAGCAAGGGGTTTGCCTTCTGGGTCGATCGTCACACCAGGCTTGCCTAGTGTGGATTACCTCTCCTGTGTGGTTTGCGAGCTATTGCACAGGAGGGATTTTTTTACCCTGTGCGCACCCAAAGGGTGCGGCTGCAAGTTTCCCTTGTCATAAAAAAAAAATGTTGCAGGGCTCCTTGTGTGTTTGGTTTTGTATATGTGATCACTGGAAGGATCCACCTGATTTGGGTTTGCACATATAGGACAAAAGTAACAATGGTACTTTATCCAACCTCAAAAATAGTGCACAAAAGGGCATTATTCAAGCACGTGATAGACAATCTAATCCAAGTAACTTCCATATTTTGAGCACCACACACACGCCCTCTGCTCAAACCTGTATTATTTTTTTCCTTATAAAATCTATTTTATTTTATTTTTCTTTTTATAAATAAATAAATTTATAAGCATCTCAGAGAATAAAAGATGGAAAAATGCCTGTTTCAAGTGTAAATTTGTGGGTAAGCATATGCAGTCTCACAAATAAACCTAAAGAACATGCCTAGTCTACGCAGGACGACTAGTTAATGCTTTTGCTATCAATACTTAACAAGTAACACCCAGGAAAAAAATAGGAGTTGTTGTCAGATTTTTGTTGATAAAGTGAGCACGTGATTCAGATTCATCAACATAAATTAAATGTAACTGACTGTGATTCCAGGAGAACAAAAAACAACAACAACTATGCTTCAGTCCCAAACAAGTTGCGGTCGGCTATATGAACCCTCACTTCTTCATTTAAGCTCATTTCTTATCCCCATCATACAAAATAAAATAAAAGTCAAAATAACTTAAATATATACGTACTTTATAATAGAAATTCTCTAACAAGTCCAAACCAAAACAAAATATATTTAAAAAGAAGGTTTTGTGCATTGATGAAATTGTTTGTATTAAGGCGAGAGAGAGATAGGCATAGAGAGAGATAATGCTAGGGGAGTACAGAAAGAGGGAGACCTGAATAACACTATGTGCAGCAAATCTGTTCCTGCTGCTGTGAAAGCTGACATCTATTTTCTCCCAGGATACCCGAGATAAACCAGTCACCAATTCCTCTGGATAAATGGTCAAAGCATTAGCACAATAATATTTTATTATAGGTCAACTGGTCAAATCAGTTTTAGTACTACAATATTAGGAAGCCAAGACAAAACAACCTTTTCTTCCTCTTCCTTCTTTGAGATAGGTATTGTATCAATATATTATCCACAGGCACTAAACTCTCATCAAAAGCTCTAAATTTCAGTTGCATTAAAAACAAATACAGTTGCAAACGAACAAGCACACCAACAAGGGTTGTGGTGGAGTGGTAAGTACTCCTTCATCCTTAACCAAGAGGTCTCGGGTTCGAGCCCCCTTGGGTACGGAGTTGTCTTTGTTAGGGAGCGCTTTACCCCTCAATGTGGGACTTTCTGGCGCGAATCCGGATTTAGTCGGGCTCCAATGTGGGTACCCGGACACCGGGTGGAAAACCAAAAAAAAAAAAAACACATCAACAAAAGAGTCCTAGTAAGCACTTAGAACTTGATTTCTCAAAAAGATCGGAGGGTCAAAGACTACTCTGATTTACAAACTAAATTGCATAGTCCTTTAGGAACAGCAGATTTTTTGTTTGTATTGGTGTTAAGCCTTAGATAACAGAAAGAGCAATCCCGCACACATTTGAGAACATATAGCATCATGAAAAGCTCAGTGAGCAGCATTAGAAAATGTATCTGAGACCTAGCTCAGGAGGAGGGGGCAGCAAGGGATGATTTCACTGGAAGTGAATTTCTCTCATAAGAAGAGAGTTACTGACCTTCTAGCTTGTCAAAATGATCACCTTCCTTCACAACAGACTCACCCTGCTCACCATCACACGCCTTGCAATGTTCTTGATACACAATGTGAGGATACTTCTTATTTAAGGAGTCCTCCCACTGCAAGCACAAATTGTTAATATAATGTAGCACATACGATTTGATTGGTATCCACTAGCAAATTCTGTACCTTAGGCAGTTCATTATTACGTCTAATTGATGATGTTCCCCAACCTACAATATCTAAATAAAGGTTGTTAAGGAAAAATAGCCTTTGATCTTTTAGAAGTTCTGATAACAGAGGTCGATTGCCTGATTCAACAGTACAAACAGGATACGATCATAACCAACATTTGAGTATGCGACCCTTCGCTTGAATGAACTTAATGCAGACCTGTATGTGAGAGTTTTGCAACAAATTAGCATCAACAAACTGTACTTTTACTGCAGATCCTCATAAAAGGTAGGATCATGTTGTCCAATGCATGCAGTAAGTAAATCTTATGACATACATAAAGCGTAATTCACCATCATCTTCCACCATCCGTCTTAGTAATGGAGGCTTTCCTTCATCTTCGTTAAGGAAAAGGTGTCGGCCCGTTTTCTTGAATATCCAATGAACACAGAGCCCAGCAGCTTTTTCAAAGGCAGTTACACCAAAAAGAAATGGCACCTGACAATTAGCTCAAAAATTAAATATTGCAAAAAACAACAATGACAAAGCAGATATTGTAGAGAGAAAAAGCAAAGCAGATCTTTTAAGATCAGGAGGGAGAAAACTCACAATCTTAATAATGCAAAAATAGACTTCAGAAAAAGAAGAATACTTGCTCATTCCTTAAGACCTAGACAACAGAAGAAGCATGGATAAAGTTTTGCTTCTTGATCCTTCTGTTAGATAACTGAGCTATTCTCCTTTTCACAGTTCACAACATTAAATAGGGGATCAATATCTATTATTACTAGAGAGGATCCCTCCAGAATACTGACTATCAGCTAGGCAAGTAGATGATATAGTATGATACTATGATCCAAAATCATAATTAACTTGGTAGTTCTAGAAGCCACTGTAACACGCAGAAGAATGTAGTTTACAAGAAGTGCCGAGGTTAATCAAAGAGGTATCTTTCTTTTACATTTCAGTAACTTTGAGGTCTTCTTATCAAAAGAAGGATCAGAATCACACACAGGAAAACCCTGAAACAACTTCAAGGTTACTGAACAGTCAAAGCTACCATTAGATCTAAGGAGTTGTTAGCTATATGGATCAGAATAAGATAAGTTAAATATCATCCCGTGTTGGTAGATTCCCTTGGACAACTAATCAAGATGGAGGGACACAAACTGTCTGGAAATGAGGAATACTTCCTGTTATTTTCTGGTTCTTGCAGCTGTAAAACTTTGTATCTTGCAGTAAGCTTTTCCAAGTCCTTCCTGCTGTAGAATAATTTTCCCAAAAATTAGATGCATCTTTCCATTGTTTTTCCCCTTGATGCAGCGCATTCCTTGCTTCTCTATTTTACCTTACAATCTCAGTGAATTTATTGATTATTCTTTTCAAGTTTTTTGTTGATTTTGTCTCGACACTTGCTACTTTACCAACTAAGGATGGAGATGATAGTCGAAGATGAGGAACCCATCATTTAAAAAGTTGGTGATAATATGTTCTTTTCATGATAGTTTTGAGATTCATGGAAAAACTTAAACTTATATACTGGGTGCTTTATGATTAGTTTTTTTTATGAGGGAGTGCTTTATGATTAAACTGTTATAGTATGTTTTACACCAAGCACTAGATTCAACTGGATAAATGATGGTCTACCGGGATATCCAGACAGTAATCAAATACAATGATGTGTGAAATAGTAGCACCACCCATAAATCCCTGATTATAATCCATTACAAAGTGATTGTAATTCCATGATATTGAGGCACTAAGTCACCCGTAATCACTAACTAAATTTCATTGTCGACTGTGTCGATTGTCTCAAAACACCAAGAGACAGAGCCCTCTCATCCAAGAGTAAGCTTCACCAGCTTAAAAAGGCATAAGGCAAAGGCATAGATGCATAAATTAACCTTTCTTCCTCAGCAAGATATGATGAGGCCACTTTCTATCAAACAATAAAATACTCATAAAACTATTGGTGACAAAATAAATTCATACCTGCTTGTTACCCCTGGAACCCAGATGAGGTGAGGCAACAGTGATGAAATTTATTGGTGCCAGGCCGACTATTGTCCCCTTTGACCCTTCTTCACTGGTATCATCCGAGAATTTCTGCACATTGTCCGTTCGTGGAGGTCTATATAATTTCCCAATTGCATATCTTGCCACTACTCCTCCAACCGAATGTGCAACAAAAGAAATTTTCTTCAAACCTGGCCTTCTTTTGACCACATCAAGAACCTAACAGCCATATCATTACCATCAGATATGATATACACATCATGTTTTGGAGAAAATATTAGGAAAAAGGAATGAGAAAAAACAAAAGAAAATCAAATCACATAGAAGCTATCAACCTCCTCAGCTAATCGCTCTCCCATTACATCCACACCATCCAACGATAGTTTAGCCATATTACGTTCACTGCCTGCCAAGAAAATTATGTTCATCGTTCATCAAAGAAGAAAATAATGTCCATCAAGACCATGCAAAATATGCTAGTGCTCGGCCATTATGAAGAAGGTAAAAACAGAGACATTGATACATATACTAATAAGTTCCACATGAGCAGGGAAGGTAAGAAAATCTCTTTTTACAGAATAAGTTCTCTACCTATTCAATACAAGAACGCTCAAATTAGAAAAGGGAGGACCAATGAAGTTGGGAATCACAATCAGAGCAGACTTGAATTTTAGTATGCAATGAATGTGGAATAGGAGATTACACAGCATAAGAGGCAGAGTGTGGGAGGCAAGAAAAAAAAGACTAGGTGACTGCCCACAGAAACAGAAGATAAAGTAAGGGAAACCAACTTACTTTGTCAATCAGCATAGCAAGCAAGAACAAAAGAAAAGTTTTGATTTAGAGCAATAGCTACCAAATATTAGAAGGTGAGGATTAAAGGGTAGAATTACGTGACATACAGAAACAAAGTGCTGAAACACAACAGAAATGGCACTCAATATGTACTTACAATGAACAAAAACTTTGTCGGGAAGATTCCGAACAAACTGCTCCGCACCAAACTTCCAGTCCGAAGCACTGTCGTAGTACAAGAACAGTAAACCCAGCAATAAATATAAATTTTTAAAACCAACACCAGAAAAGCACTAACTTATTTTGTAAGAATCCATCATTACTCCAGAAAAGACTTTTCTGTGGTGGTTATTTGACTTCAAACTGAATTAATAGACAGGAAACAGGATTGGCTAGTCAGCATTTTAGAGTGTGCTTGGGCTTTGATATGACGGAAAATGTATGAAGTCATTTTGTGGTGTTTGGTCAGCAGGAGCATTTTCCATCAAAAGGAGAAAAATATCTTCCCTCAACTATGAGCGAAATCACTTTCCTTCACAAGTATCTCATATATCGCTCCAACTAACAATTAACTATTATTATCAATCCTCAAAGACAACAATTTATTTAATCAAAATCTCAATGCAAAACACTATCCAAATCGTTGATAATATTATTAAACTTCAAATCCATTTTTCTCATTGCCAGGCAAGGGAAATTCTTGTGATCTGGCAATCAATTGCTCACAATAAGTCCCAGAACTCCCCATAGAATGAAGCAATTGGAACAGCTCCAAATTTAGGACATTAATTTACAAACAGATAAGGAAATCTATAGCTTTACATGCTGATTGAAAGAAAAAGCAAAAAACAATCAACTTGAATCTTCATCGAACAGGACAAATGCCTAAAAACTTAATTTCTGGATGCAAAAGTTGAGAAAAATGATATTAACGCGCATTTCATAATCATAGAATTACCTTCCGAGGATACCGTGTACCATCATAACAAGATGATCGGCGGTAGAAGCATCAGACGGTTTAGAACTAAATACATCTTCTCCGCCGTTGAAGGTTTCCGACGAGGAAACTCCTCCGTTGTGTACTTTTCCGTTCTCCATTTCCTCTAAAACTTTATTGTAGCATTTGATACACAGTTGAATTGATCAGAATTGTGGAAATAATTAAAAGGTTAGTACAGTTTAGGTCAGGTATTTAAAGATCTGGAGAGAGAGAAATGCTTGTGACGAAAGAGACTGAAAGATGAAGGAAGCTACTTTAAGAGGGGATAAAAAGTTATTTGCGACAAAAATAAAAAAGGTGTTGGCGAAGTTAAGAAATCTTTAAAGCTTAATTAAATAAGGCATTATTTTTATTTAAAGAATATTTAAGAAGACGACACATGTAAATATAATACTAGAAGTTTAAGTTAATATTTAAGGCGCAATCAATCGTTAATGCTGGTTAACTAACACCATGTAATTTTTTAACCGACTAATTATTAGCTGATTTTTTATTCAGGGAATCGAATCAAAATATATAAATATACATTAAAAAAAAGAATTATTTATATATATAAGGTAACTTTTTTATGAAAAGATTCCGGTGACTTAATGACATAAATATCATTTGATTCATATTCTTTTTATTAAAAGATAATTATTAGAAATAACCTTAATTTCAGAGCAAAATTATTAGTTTATCATCAAACTATTGACAGTCTTAAAAACATATTTTTACTTGATTAACTGAACTTAAATGCATATCCGATCTTGTAACATGAGTGAAATACACCACTAAATTCTGATCAAATTTAGAGGAGTTTTCAACACTTTTCTCTGACTTTTTATTAAAAGTTTCATGCTCCTATTACATGAGTTTAAGACCACTTGTTTTGTTATGTGACAGATTGTTAGTATATCTAAATTTAACTGGTCAGTAGAATAATGATTTTATGGCTATTTAATTCAAAAGTAAACTAATATTTTTTGCTAAATTGAAATTTTTTTTAAATTGATAATGATGACAATGAATAGCATTTGATAGATTTCCATTTATGATTCATTATTTGGCTATAACTTATAAGCAATGTAATCATGTTTATTTACGGTTCATTCACACCGCCTACGAATCAGTTTGAGTTGGCGGTTTTGGTTGTGGTGGGATCCACGCGGTCTCAACCGAATCAGAAATGGAAATATTACTTTTTAATTTTATTATATTAATTTTTGAACTTCTAAATTAAATAAAAACAAATCAAATAAAAGTCATTTGATTTGATTCAAACACCGACATAAAATAATTATTTCAAATGAGTATTAAAAATAAATAGTTTCTCGTTACTATTATAAGATGAATGGATCTGAACTTTATATTATATTTCAATATTATTTTGAAGTTTTTGTATTATTTGAATTGCATAATTATAAAGGTTCTTTCACTTTCACATGTTTCACATTAACAAAATAATATATAATTTTAAATAAAAGTAGACAGATGTCTTTGGAAAGAAAACTAAAAATCGATAATGTATTACATTACACCATATCAAATGAGTGTTTGATAATTAAACTTTTAAAATGTGTGTGGACATGTTTTTTAAGAAATGAGCTTTAATAGTACCATAATGCATGTGACATAAGTAGATTAAAATCAACCTAATGATTAAATTTTAAAAAGATATAAAATGTGTATAATTTGATTTGATTTTTTCTTTTTGATTCTTTAGTTAAACAAAAATCAAATTACATATTGTCTTTTTCATTATTTGATTTCGGTTTGAACTATATGAAAAGTGTAGGTATTAAGGATTTTAAAAGCACGGGTAATTTTACATTATATAAATTATTTCAGTATACGAACAATGAAACATGACTTCAATTCATTCAATTTATTTTTGTGAAAACTTATAATTTCCTACTCAAATAATATTTGTGTCTTTATTGATTTTTTTCTAAAGAATATTTGAAAGCTAAACATAACAACTGGAACAATTTATTTTATTTTTTAAAAACAAGAGATAACAAAAAAATAAAAATAAAAAAGAAGATAAAATCGGATAAAAGTTATAGTAAGTTATCTTTTTTTAATTCATTCATCCAGGCTAAAAATTACTTGATTTTAGAAGTATTTTTTTTTTCAAATAGTTTTTCAGAATAATGCTTTTGAAAAAAAATTAATTTGTGTTTGACCAATCTTTTAAAAACAAAACACTTTTGAGAGTCAAATTATGAAAAGTGACAAGTATCAACACACTTTTAATATTAAGATTATTTTAAATATCTATCATTAAATTATTTTATATATATAAAAATTTAACTTCTTTTCAACAACAGCAAAAATTATTTCTGCTTCCATTTAAAAATACTTTTACTAATTAGCCAAACACCTAAATTTTTTAAAATAAAACGTTTTTTTCTCAAAAGACGTGATTTTGGCCTCTCATCATTAGTGTCAAACAGATTCAAATATCATCGATATTTATCATTTCCAGAGACCTAAACTAGTTTGTAAGTTAATTTTTATAGTATAACTCAAACATATTATTTAATAATATTTACATGATTTTCTAGAAAAATTATATACTAGGTACACGCAAAGCGTGTATTCTAGAACTTATTGAAATATATAATCATCTCTTTTAAGAAAAATAAATTCTAAAGTTATTTATTTAAGTATATTTTTAATAATAAATAAGAAAATAATATGTTATGATGAAATGAAAAAAAAAGATGTTACTATTTGTTTGCAACAAATTTTAAACATATGGAAAATAAATAAACCACACAAATAAAATATGAAGAAACATGATTTTATTGATCAAGATTTGCGGGTACAATTTTGTTCCTCCCTTGATTCTACTCTCCTAAGATTTATACATGATTTGAAGGCCGTTAATGGCGTATTTCTCGAACTAGGATGATTTAAATTTAACCTCTATATGAATATTCCATGACTTTTGTAGAATATTCGAGATCTTGATCTTTAAAAATACCCAAGAGTTTATGGGATATTTTGAGATGTCTTTTAAGAGAATTTAGTACCCTTTATATAGGCATAAACTAGGGTTTAGAGTTGAGTAGCCTATAGGAATTCTAATTGAAACTGAACACACCTTCTAGAGTCCCAATTCGAATTGAACGTAGAGTCCCACAAAATTTTAATGTCTACACTATTAATTTAAAAGAATCGGATTTTATTAATCAGATAAAGAGAAGTTTTATTACCCTTAAAGATGGTATTATTTTCACATTGAAAAGAGAGTACTATTTCCAAAAAGGTATAAAGTGTTTTCAGAATTTTTAGAAAGATTGAGTACAGAACAGTTACCGTTTAAAGAGGCCCTTTTGAGAACTTATCTCAATCAAAGAGTAATTTTACTTGAGCATTGAGTGTTATATATATTTTGAGAGTAGTATTGAGCATCGATATACAGAAGAGTTCAGACAACTCACATTCTCCATAAATCACGAAGCCAACGTGAGTTAGGATCGCACCGACTTTCGGGTGACTCCTCATTGCCTTTAAGTAGACCTTTTAGTGGATCCATGAGTTGAGTTTGTTCTATATCCCGACAAGGTATAGGACAATTCTAGCAGCATGAGCGAGACGTTGTAACATCACAAGGCTCATAGTGATGGTTGTCGATTAGAGAAACTCCCGAGTAAAGTAATATATATATATATATATATATATATATATATATATATTTCAATTCAGTATTTTCTATTATTGCATCTTTAGCGTAAGATCTTGAACGAATTTTCATCATGATTTATACTATATTTTAGTTGCGTTACCTTCAGACTTTCAGCTCAATTATTTGTTATTCAGCTATATTACATACCCATACATTCAATGTATTGGTGTCATTCGACCCGCATATTTTTATGATGCAGATTCAGGTACTTAGGATCCTCAATAGGAGTTTCTTTAAGATCACTTCATCATCTCATCAGCTTTTGAGTGAAACCTCCTTGCTTCCGATGGACTCCAATATTTATGAGTTGTTAGTAGTAGCATTTTGATGTTGTGGGTCTTGTCCCGAAACTCGTCTTTATACAATAGAGGCTTCATAGACAAACAGTTTTGGAGAATCTTTTAGTTTCATATGTTTTATTTAAAACTTATGTATCATACTCAGAATATTCAGAGAGTTTGAGATACAGTAAGTTGTTAAACGTTTCTGTCAGTTTGATGTTTGTGTATGCTTGAGTTAGTCTTTCACTTGTAGTATCCAAGATGAGGGCTCGTTTGGGGAGCAGCAATGGCTCTCTCGGCCACGTCCAGGATATATAGGATCGGGTCATGACAATCGGGTTGTTTAATGCTATTCATTAACATAAAAAAATGCTTGAATAATATAGGTGGAGTACAATAATTTCATTGTAAAACAAATATGATATTCAAAATTACAACAACTATAGAAGTTTAAATTGTTAATTCATGCAATGAACATTTGATAGAGGATAGGTGTAGTACTTTAGGGTAAAAATAGGTGTGTCTGTTACGAAAATCAATTTGAATTCACATCGGAGCGTTTAATTATAGAAGTCATTCGTCTAGTAAGGAGATTGATTGAGCAATATAGAAAGAAGAAAAAGAATTTAGATATGGAGTTCATTAATGTAGAAAAATGCCTACGTCAAAATCCCAAGAAGGGTTATATAAAGATGTTTGGAGGCTAGAGGTGTGACTGTAATTTATATTAGGGCGATTAAAAACATGTACGAGGGAGTCAAAACTTGAGTAAGAATAGTGGGCAGAGACTCAAAGCACTTTTCAGTCATTATGGATTGCAATAGGGTTCAAATCTCAACTCATTTTATTTACTTTAGTGATGAATAAACTAACATGATATATCCAAGCAAAGGTGTCATGGTGTATGTTAATATTTACGTATGACAGAGTATTGATTGACAAGACTCGAGATGGAGTTAACGATAGGCTGGAGGTTTGAAGATAGACCCAGAGTGTAAGGTGTTCAAGTTGAGAAGTACCAAGACACATACTTAGAGTGCAGGTTCAGTAATGTAACTCATGAGGTAGATGTTGAAGTGAGGATCAATACATAAGTCATCAGAAAGGAAGTTTCAAGTATCTGGGTGAATAATTCAAGAAAATGAGAAGTTTGACAATGATGTTACACATCGTATTGGAGCGAAGTGAATGAAATGAAGCTCACATCATGTATCTTATGTGATAAGAATGTGTCATCAAGACTTAAAGTTAAGTTTTATAAAAGT